CTGTGGACGAGGGCTACGCTGAAGGCCGCAGGATGCGAGCTTCTGTTGCTGCAGCGTAGGTACCTACTTGACAATCATAATATGTCTAATATTTGTATTTGTAAACATAACCAATCGGTATGATCAGTCTGTTGAACATCACGTAAATTTCTGACACATTTAGATGTTTCGTTGGTGTGTCTAGTGGCTACTCAGTTTATTAACAAAATTATTTTCAATTTGTTTGGATGTTGGCAATGCGCATTAATTGTCGTAAGCTGGTTGAAGCATGTGCCTTTTTTAAGTGCTTGTTTGCCGTTTTACTGCAACTGTTTTCAGTTCTAAAAATTTGATGCTTGCAAAAACACTTTGTAATGGTTTGTAAAACGAAAGAAACCATAAATTAAATTTTAGATTTAGCATTCCGTACAGTTAACAAAACCCGCATTCATTATGCCACCTCGCTCGTGCCCTGGCACATAATTCGAATAAAAAAGACGAACAATAAAGTAGCCACCTGAGAGGCGGGACACGTACTCGGGAATTTCCATCATTCACTTTATGGATATGACTGTCACAAACAACGAATGGCGTGTTAGAGGAAAACGCCAAAGAACACACGTCACACGCAAACCTGCGCGTGAATGGTGCTTGTGACTTGTTTCTTAGTTTACGTCCGTTCCATGTGATGCGGGTAAACACCAGGAACAAGTCTGTTACAAGCCCTTGATGAGTGTGTGGCTGCGTTGTGACAGGTGTTTCTGGTGGACCACGGTGTGACGATGGCCTGTGACGCCAGCGAACTGAGGGAGATGAAACAGGAGTTCAACCTGCTGCCGTACCAGGTAAGCGAGCCCCGCTGAGATCTATTGTGCCCTCTTTGGTCTCTCCATTCTCTCTGAATTATTCTCATAGTAACTGGCACACCCGAGTGGATTTGGTAGTGACAGGAAGCGGCAGTGCTGCCACGGAGACGGCCAGGCTGGCGTTCACAGTGCAGTCTCAGAGCTGTGACTGCCGACTAATGACTTTGACTATGACTAATGACTGATTTGTGTTGACTGTGAGACTGATGGCACGGCACTCTCTGCCGGCAGGCGGTGTCGTGCTGGCTGAGCTGTGTGGCTCCGGCCAGCGGCAGCCACTGGTCTCCAAAGGCCATCAGTCGGTTCGTCAATCTGGTGAGTCGGCCCTGTCTGCTGGGCGCAGTGACGGGTCGCCGGCCGGACGGGCAGCTCGAGCTTGACCTGTACGACGAACACCGCCACCTGAGCGAGATTTTAGTCCGCGAGAGGCTGGCCGTACGCGTCCAGCGCGCACCCCAGCCGGTCGGTAGAAAGCTGCTGCCGGTGTAGGCAGACCCCGGCCGAGTCGGCACTGCCGCTAGGCCAGTACAGGGGGACGTGATAATGGCTGTAAGATAGGTGAGAGACGCGTGAGAGAGGTCAGAAAGACGCGTGAGAGAGGTGAGAGGCAGTGTGAGACGTGCAGGGTGTTGATATTAGGACGCAGGAGCTGGGCCTGCCTGTTTTCGTGATAGCTGCCTTTGCCACTTGATATTACAGTGCCTTAGTGAAGAAGTAAGCGTCACCCTAGTCTGAAGGTGAGTTCAGTGCTCTTGCAGTGCCGTGATAACGATATAGACGCTCCCCAGCGCAGTCGTCAGCGCGTTGTCGGCAGGCTGTTTGCCAGCTCCGTTACTCAAGGACCAAGTGTGTGTTTCCAGTGAGAAGCCGCATCTTCCTGCGGAGCTCTGAGTTCCCTTTCCACTGAATATCATGTTTTGTACATTATGAGGTTACGTCATAAGCACAGAGTTTTCATTTTTATATGAAATACACGTTTACCTTTACAAATATTCATTGCTATCGTGTCGTTCTCGGCTTCGGAAAATAATTTATATGGACTGAATACGATACAGAACAGTGATACCGTACCAGGCTATCGCACGGTGGCCGGTGCAGTAATCATTTTACCCTATAGCGTTGCTGGTACAATTTACGTGTGAAACAAACGCTGATCTCATGTTTGTAATACTTTTACGGAAAGAATCGAAGTTATCTTAATCAGTATTTTATAGGCGACAGCCGGATGTTTCGGGCTGGACGACCCAGTCTCAGTTTTTGATGCTGGTAAAATAGTTGATTTGGACGAGCATTGAATCTCCGGTAACATATCCTGCCATTCTTGGTAACAGTGCCAACGCATCACACAGTAATTTAACGATCTTTAAAAATGCAGCTTGTCAATGTTTGCTTGTCAATGTCATTCGTGACTCGGTGCATAGTCATCATTGTTGGCCCAAGCAGTAGCGGCGGAATACCTTCAATTAGGGGGGGGGGGCACTGCCGACTTTTGATCCCATTCTTTCCATGCAATGCCCATTGGGCTAATGTTAAAATGCCCAAGTCAAAGGGGGCACGGTGCCCCGGTGCCCTCCCCGTTCCGCCGCCTATGGGCCCAAGGCCCTTGCTTGGTTGGGTGGAATGTGGATAGCATCAACGATTCCTCCTTTGCATTCGGCTATAGGCGGCACCTACATCTACTGGCATCTTGCTTGCTTAGAAAATAGAGAAATCAAACATGGGTCATGACTCCCACTCCACATCTGGCTGAATTGAATGTCATTTGAGGGTGTACCGTGCGTTTCATGATCAAGTGCACTCATGTCGGAGGTGTGTTCGACTCTTAGTCTTATCAGCACCATGTCTCAAAGGACATGTCCGACTTGTTATCAGCTGGCGGTCAGGAACCTGCTACGCACGCGCAGGGAGTGCAGTCGACCGTCGACGAGCGCGGTGGTGGCAGGGCAAGGACTGGGGACTACAGGCGTCTGAAGGTCGGAGCTGGAGGACTGTATTAAGTCGCCCCTTGGAGGTCAAAGGTCTGCAGTTGGTCGCCTTCTGAAGGTCGAAGGTTTGCAGTCGGTCGCCTTCTGAAGGTCGAAGGAAGGTTTGCAGTCGGTCCCCCTGCCGTCTGTCGCTGAGAAGGCTACACTTTGGCGCCGGTTGTCGTGTTAAAAGGTGTCAGGTGATGTGACATCGAGGTCCACCAGCCCATCGAAGTCTCTTCAGCCATGCAGCTGGACACCGGATACATGGTCGAGCAGGTGCTCGGCATGTTCTACATCAGGAACGTGACGGCGACGTTCGTCCCGCCACTGGAGCGGCCGCCCAGCTATCTATCGCAGGCGCTGCCCTGGTTCCTCATGCTGGTGTTTCTGGAGGCGGTATTTCTGCGTCTGAAGGGGCGCCAGTGGGACCTCAGCGACGCCGCCGTCTCCTCCTCACAAGGTCTAGCTCAAGAGGCCGTGCGCTACACTCTCCGTGGCTGCGAGGGCTGGGCCTACGTCTACATTTGGCAGCACTATCGCTGGTTCGACGTGCCCTGGGACTCGCCCGTCAGCTTCTGGTTCACCATGCTGGCTGTCGACCTGGGCTACTACTGGTTCCACCGGGCCTCGCACGAAGTGAACCTGGTGTGGGCGTCTCACCAGGTGCACCACAGCTCCGAGTACTACAACCTGTCCACCGCGCTGCGACAGTCGGTGGTGCAGCACTACTTCAAGTGGATCGCCTACATCCCGCTGGCCATCATCGGCGTGGCGCCGTCCATGTTCTTCACCCACGTCCAGTTCAATCTGGTGTATCAGTATTGGATCCACACCGAGATGGTCAAGAGCCTGGGACCGCTGGAGCACGTGCTCAACACGCCCTCCCATCACCGCGTCCACCACGGCTCTAACGTCAAGTACCTGGACAAGAACTACGCTGGCGTGCTCATCATCTGGGACCGGCTGTTCGGCACCTTCTGCTGGGAGGAGGAGACGCCCACCTACGGGCTCGTACACAACATCGAGTCGTACAACCTGTGGACCATCCAGCTGGCGCACTTCCGCTGGATCGCGTCCGACGTGCCTCAGCAGGTGGGCTGGCGGAACAAGCTGCGCCGTCTGGTGTGCGGCCCCGGCTGGGTGCCCGGCACCGGCCGTCTGGGCGACCCAAGCACGTTCCCGGAGCCGGACCCGGCGCGGCGCCGGTTCGACACGGGCCGGCCGCTGTGGCTGCAGCTGTACGCCACGCTGCACCTGCTGCTGCTGCTGGCGCCGTCGGTGACGTTCGCGCAGCAGCACCTAGCGCTGCCGCCGCTGGGCGTGCTGCTGTACAGCGGCCAGCTGCTGCTGGCGCTCAGCTGCGTCGGCTGGCTGCTGGACGGCGCCGGCTGGGCGCCGCTGGCCGAGCTGGTGCGCTGCGCGCTGGCGCTGGTCAGCCTGGCCTGGCTGGGCGGCCAGTACCCGGCGGCGGCCGTCACCGCCGGCAGAGCCGTGCTCGCCGGATCCATGCTGCTCTGGCTCGGAGCCGTCTCCCTCGGCGACGGAAAGGACAAGACCAAGGCGCAGTAACGGCGCCTCGTGCTGAACAATGCTAACAACTGATGAAAACCGTGTTTCTGATTGTTACAAATATTAAAAATGAAATGAAACTAAATAAGTTATCATTAGAAGAAAAACTATGCGTTGGGAGGATTTTTGTCCATTACCGAACGAGTATTTTTTTTTTGCATTTTTACGTTCCCATCTGCCCCCTCCCCCCACTAATAGCTTTTTTTACACACACTACACTCGTGAATAAAGATCTTTCCCCACAAAAAAAAATGTGTTTTATTCCCAGTAGGCCCGCCTTTTTTTTCTAGTTAGGATTTTTTCTGGGGGAGGACACACACGACAGGTTACCTATTGGTTGGTGGATGGGAACACCATTGCGCCGCGCTGGGAACAGCAGCCCGATAGCAAGGCGATCTATTTAGAAACTTATTTAAATGGGTGCATGTTCTTGCCTTGTTGGTTTTGGGCTGAATATACTACTAGCCCCGGTTTGAACTGTTTGAACAGCTGCAGTATTTTCCCTAATTAGGGCTTGGAGCTCTAGAGTTCTCGAGATTGGTTGTTTCTGCAGTCTGTTGAGACGTCCGATTTTTGCGTTTTTGGCAGACTCTATGGAGAAACAAAAAATATGGTTTCCTGCCGTGAAAATTTTATCTTCCGTAGTAACTTTTATTTTAGAAGGAAACTTGTACGACATTGATTTTCCCAGCATCGTATTTCTCTCGTCAAGACACGTCGAAGATTTCAGATAAGCGGACAGGCATTTACTTCACAGGAACGCGTCATAAGGCTATATAAACAAATATCCATGTTTGGTCTCTGGCTCGGCGGCAGTCTTGTATTTGTCTCTTCTCTCCCTTGCAATAGCGGGTAGCGAGTCGTTCTGCTACTGCGCCTTGGCCTTGGCCTTTCCGTCGCCGAGTGAGACGGCTCCGAGCCAGAGCAGCATGGATCCGGCGAGCACGGCTCTGCCGGCGGTGACGGCCGCCGCCGGGTACTGGCCGCCCACCCAGGCCAGGCTGACCAGCGCCAGCGCGCAGCGCACCAGCTCGGCCAGCGGCGCCCAGCCGGCGCCGTCCAGCAGCCAGCCGACGCAGCTGAGCGCCAGCAGCAGCTGGCCGCTGTACAGCAGCACGCCCAGCGGCGGCAGCGCCAGGTGCTGCTGCGCGAACGTCACCGACGGCGCCAGCAGCAGCAGCAGGTGCAGCGTGGCGTACAGCTGCAGCCACAGCGGCCGGCCCGTGTCGAACCGGCGCCGCGCCGGGTCCGGCTCTGGGAACGTGCTCGGGTCGCCCAGACGGCCGGTGCCGGGCACCCAGCCGGGGCCGCACACCAGACGGCGCAGCTTGTTCCGCCAGCCCACCTGCTGAGGCACGTCGGACGCGATCCAGCGGAAGTGCGCCAGCTGGATGGTCCACAGGTTGTACGACTCGATGTTGTGCACGAGCCCGTAGGTGGGCGTCTCCTCCTCCCAGCAGAAGGTGCCGAACAGCCGGTCCCAGATGATAAGCACGCCGGCGTAGTTCTTGTCCAGGTACTTGACGTTGGAGCCGTGGTGCACGCGGTGGTGGGAGGGCGTGTTGAGCACGTGCTCCAGCGGTCCCAGGCTCTTGACTACCTCGGTGTGGATCCAGAACTGGTACACCAAGTTGAACTGGGAGTGCGTGAAGAACATGGAAGGTGCAACGCCAAGGAAGGCTAGCGGAAGGTAAACACACCAGCTGAAATATTGCTGCACGACTGACTGCCGCAGCGCCGTCGCCAAGTTGTAGTATTCAGAGCTGTGGTGCACCTGGTGAGATGCCCACACCAGATTCACTTCGTGCGAAGCCCGGTGGAACCAGTAGTAGCCAAGGTCGACAGCGAGCATGGTGAACCAGAAGCTGACGGGCGAGTCCCAGGGCACGTCGAACCAGCGATAGTGCTGCCAAATGTAGACGTAGGCCCAGCCCTCGCAGCCGCGGAGGGTGTAACGGACGACCTCTTGCGCCAAGCCTTGAGACGTAGACACTGAAGCGTCCGCGAGGTCCCACTTGCGCCCCTTCAGACGAATTAGCACCGCCTCAATGGCGATGAAAACGAAGAACCAGGGCAGCGCTTGCTCGATGTAATTCGGCGGCTCCTTCATCGGCGGGACGAACGACGCCGTCACGTTCCTGATGTAGAACATGCCGAGCACCTGCTCGACGTATTTGCCGACGTCCGGCCCCATGGCGAAGATGTGATCCCTGTCCCTGACTCTGGCACCGTCCCACGTTCGCCTGCAATCACACCCACCGCCAGACGACGACTGGCTCCGGCCGCCTCGCTCAACGCCAGGCTCGCCCGCGCGATGACCTTGTGATAAACAGTTGATAGAACAGAGCCCCGCCTCCCACTTCATAAACACTCCACTCATGAGCGAAAAAAGCCGATAAGACAGGACTCTGACCGATAGGAAGTTATTGCCTCACCTGAAGCCTGAAGCTCAGGTCCGATTGCCTCCCAATCGAATTCGGATATATTCGTGTATATTGTTGGTTATATTTGGATTAGCTTGTAAAAACACTGCTGCTTAGGTAGGTGCGGCTAACGCCGTCACGTGTCTCGAACAGCTTTAGCGGCGCAGGCTTAGTGGCGTTGCGTTATATATGAATGGTAATGGAGGTGTGTTACATAACGAGCTAAATGCAAATATGGCGCACGAATATTAGTTTTTTGCTACAAATATGTTTTTGGTTAAAGGATTCACTCATGACCCTCTAGGTCCTATGTTCATTTCGTCGTCGCATTGAAGAAATTGACTCCAAATGCTTTTGGTGTCCATCAAATGTTCAACTGTTGTCTGTTTGGGTCTTGTACGTACAGCGGGTCTATTGCGTGCGTTAGATCTCGGCAAATAGGAATGTAGGTACTGCATGCTTTTTCAGGTTTGCATGTATTTGAATTCCAGATAAATATTGCTGGGTGGGTATTTAGGACTTAGGAGCTCTGCTATATTGAGCATTAGGTCCTTAAAATGCCTATGGGCAGGCTAGCCTGCTCATAAGAATAAGCACGTCTTAAAATTCAGAATGTCTCTAATCTCTATGTGCAGTGTGACCCTCTCCTGAGTTGGCGAGATATCAGTCTGTGATATCACGGGACAGGGCATGGCATATGCAGCATTCCTTATCTCCGATTCATTTAGATAAATCAGGTGCAAAAGATTGCTTTCCAGGCATTCCTTGTACCTATGTGCCAATGGTCAACTATACGCCGAGGACAAATATGTTGGATCATGTCATGTATTACAAAGAATAAAATAATCGAAATAACTATTTATCATACTTTTCTGTGCAGCCTCTTTTCGGATGCCTTGTTATCATCGTTTGGTCACTCATCACTCATGTTCCGCTGAGCCGGCTGATCCCATACCCTGCAACCTTTATGGCAAGGCTGATGGCTTGTTATGAGCGTCTTTCTGCCCCGGTGACAGCGGCCGCCCGGTGCGGGGCACTCATTTCATGGTACTGACGGCACACATGGCAGACGCGCAGCCGCGCCCGCAGGGGGGGGGGGGGGGTATCGGGTATGCTGCAGAGACATCGGGAAGGTTATAGAGCCGAGAGTGATCGTGAACAGCAGTTGTAGATGAATGGCTTACTATTATAAAAATCAATATATTCATAGATAACATTAACCCTAGAACGCCTAGGGGGGGGTATCAACCCCCCCCTGAGGTTTTTTCGAAGTGCACGCTAAACGGCTTGTCGTAGCGGGCTGAAATTTTCAATACCCTCTGGGGCAACCTTTGCGCATCTTTTGCCGAAAAAAAATTGATCGGGTTATGTCAGGTCACGGAGTTATGACGTCATAAGAGGTACAGCCTCCGGCCGACAGTTACCAAACGTGTGCGCCGAATCCCTAGGTTTTCTGCCGGTGATACCCACATTGTTTGATGGATCATGATGAAACTTCCCATGCATGTTGGGGCAAGCATTGGCTATCGTGTGGTGCAAGAAAATTGACCGGGTCAGGTCAGGTCACGGAGCTATGACGTCACAAGAGGAACAGCGTCCGGTAGGTACTATTTTTGAAAAGCGCCCGAACCACTATTTTGCTAATTCTTGTCACCTCAATGGGAATATGCAGCAATATTAGCTTCTATAGGGAGCAAATGGACCTCCCAAATCCAAAAATACAATCAGATTTCAAAAATTTAAATTTTGATTTTTCGAATTTCTGCCGCCGACTGTGAGCTTGCCGACTTCCGGCGCTCCCAACGCGCCATTTTTAGAGCTAGGGAAACGAAATACATACCAAACGATAGAGAATTGATCAAGGAACACGATAGTGAAGGTTTCAAGTCGATATCTCCCACCGTTTTGCCGCAATCGCCGCGGAAAGTCGAAAAAGTTTGATTTTTTCGGAAAATTTGACCTTTGACCGGTCATAAGTAGGTCAAATGTTGACCTAGGACCAAAAAATATACCACCAATCGCGAGATCTCGTTGAGAGCAATCCGTTGGTTTTTTCCGCTAAGCTCTACGACCTTCCGTTTCGAAACGCCAGGGGGGTCGTAACAACCCCCCCCCCCCTGGTCGTTCGTGTTATGAGAAATGGCCTGGTCGTGCGAGGGTTAACATCTTTTACGTTCTTTATGGTGCAATGTCTGTATCGGGTCTGTACCATATTACCATGTGACATCGGAAGATTGTGGAAATGTTTGATTTACCTGTGCCACGCAGCGTAAATGTTTATTTACGTTTATCTATCCGTTTATGCATACTCTTGGTGGGGGCATAGAAGTTATTTTCCCCTTTCTCGTGAAGAATGGTACGCGATAGAGCGTCTACCACGTTCATCTGCACTTATAAAGTTATATAACGCTGGAAGACCCGTGAATGAGACCACAAACATTCAGCCCTGGCATTTGCCGCAGAGCCAATTGTGTTAGGTCACAGAAGCGGCCTTTTAAATGTATGTGATTTTTGGCATTTGATATTTATATCTGTATAACATTTTGATAAGTTCAGTTGGTAAACATCATCCAACGGAAGTTCCGAAGGACGGGAAGAGGAGTGGTGATCTCGTTTGTACAAATTATGACTTCTTTTCTTTTCCGACTCACTTATACTGGGCTCACTTTTGAATTAACGTGCAGCAAATGCTTTGCTTTGCTTTATCCAATTAGGCCACTGGCTCGAGAGTAACGATTGGCAGTGCTGACTAGCGTCAATTATTGCAGTAGGTACACTGAGTCTGGTGATCTAATTAAAGCTCTGACTTTTCAAGCATGTACTTAACGATTTTGTTTAGGAGTTTCTTTGCGGAGGATAAATTCTTTCTAATAAGCATGACCTAATTGTTCGCCCAACAATAAAAAAATGTCTGCCAAGACGTGAAAAGTTCAGTCTTCAAATAAATATAATGTCAGCCGCCCACATTAGTAAGCGAACAATATCCTTAAATACCAACATTTTTATTTCGTCGGTCGTGGTCGTGGGAGACGTGGTGTTGAGCGAGAAAGAGGGGCAGCGGGTCGGCGCGGGAGCAGCAGGGCAGAGGGGCAGCTCGGGAGCGGCAGCGCAGAGGGGCAGCTCGGGAGCAGCAGGGCAGAGGGGCGGCTCGGGAGCGGCAGGGCAGAGGGGCGGCGCGCGGGGGCGGAGGCAGAGGATCGCTCCTCAGTGGACAGAGTGGCCGTCTCTCGGCCGGCGGCGCCACACTGCCGAGCTGATTTGTGGACGATCATACACGTTATTGCGGTCCGGCCGGCTGGTTAATACCGGCCCGTTCGTCTCAGCCGCGCCGTAATGTGAGCCGACGCAGCGCTGGTCGCGGCGCCGCACACAGCCGCCGGGCGCGGATACGACCGGGGCGCTTCCCGAGCGGGATTCACTCTGTAGCAGCGGGTCTGTTGACATAATAGGCCCGGATGTTCTGCCATGTAGAGCCTGTTGACATAATGGGACCTGCGCCGCGTCCCAACTGGCCTCCAGGCTCCTTCATCATGCATGACACATTAGCCACGTCTGTCGAGCGGCAAAATGCTTCTGACTTTTGTGCAGATAGGGTACTTGACGGTCATTGCCGTCGTCGCCGTCATATGGTGGCTTGCCACGGCACATTTCTCGTGCACTTTGCCACCATGTCTGATTGCTTCCGCGCTGAAGCATACTGCATATGGCACTTCGGGTTCGATTGCCCAATTTCGCCGGCTGGAGCTAACTCTGCTCTACCTGTGGTGAGCGAATGACTGGATTATATTGGGTCATCTCGTTAGAGCCGGCAGTCAGCGAGGGTCTGGCACATGCTGAATGTTGGTGTTTTCTTTTGTTGGAAGAAAGCAGAGTGTTAGTTAAGTGTGGCGTAAATAAGAAGTTTGCTGCCAAAATATTGGGCCTACGTAAACTCAGGTTTGGTAATACCTACCTTACCTATACCTTCAAGTAATGCTGACAAGGCAAACTGGAACGACGATAAACATTCTGGGTAACTACCTTAAGAATACCGGGGGAATTACGGTCGGAATATGACACGAGACAGGCTCTGGCCGGCAATCGTAGCCCGTAAATACTTTTATAATGTTTATTTTTCTGCCTATACCTATCGTGCTTCAATAAAACGCTTTCATCATTTTAACAAAGGGTGCTTAGGTACTGCTTGTGTCTTAAGTCTCGGTAAATAAAGATGAGCCACGCTACATAAAACAGAACTTATTACAGAGTACCGGGTAGGTATAGTCGGTTAGCTACAAGGCTAGTCGCCAGAAACAGTAAACGCAAGCAAACCTGTTCTAGGCAAAGAGTTTCATCAAAATTGTTATTATGCCTATCTACGAGAAGGTAGCGGATGGCAGCGGGATCCGTGTTATATTTCCGGGAGCTACCCGTCATGATTTCCTGCATCATCACTGCTGCTGTGCGCTGCTAATCCCTGCCAGTACCAAGGCTGAGCAACATTATCTATCGCTGCAATAATGCACGGCCGTCTATGTGGACGGGACGGCTGTCGACCCTGGGATTAGTTCTCGGCTCTCGCTTATCTTTACTGCGGGGACCATCATATCAGGCGACCTGGCCGGCCAGGCCACTTGTGCCCGTCGAACGAGGGCCGGTCCCAGCGCCGGGCCGGGTTGGCGGCGACCAAATGTCGACGGTGGAGGCCATATCGGCGCCGCTTTAGGGTCATCTCAGGTTGAGACAATCTCAGCTGCCACGACTGCTCGACGACCGACCGGCGTCGATCCGTGCGTCGGTCTGGTCAGAGGGGAGAGTCGCTCAGCTCGCAACTCGGCCGCTTCTGACGTCATGATGAGAGAGGCAATTTAGTGCAGCGGTACCGCGAGTCAGGCATGAGTTT